GTCATTAGTGTGGAGGAGTATCCTGGAGTCTTCTGGACTTTTCCAGATGCCCAGACATTCTGCTTAGGGGCTGTTTGGGCGTGTTTGGAGCAGTCCCATCAAAGCGTGGGGCCGCATTGACAGCATCCCAGGGCATGCGACCTTGACCCTGGGCCATGCTGCGGCCTGACTAACCAGCACCCTCTACCTGTTGTGCCTACAGCCATCGCACTGAACCAAGTGGAGGATGTCCGGACTGTGCTGGAGCACTATGCCCTAGAGGATGACCCATTGGAAGCATTCAAACAGCGGCAGAGCCGGCTTGAGCAGGTTAGGCTCTGATCCCCACTCTTCACTTTTGAGGCTTCCAGAAGAAGTAGGTGTCCAGGAGCAGCTGCCTCTGTGTCTGCGGGATGTCTGTGCACTTGAGCACGTGGGGTTCTCACACAGCCTGCCTTGTAGGCTGTTCTAATGATCTTACAGCCCGTGCTAGAAGGGGAGACAGGAAATAGTGCGCGAGATAAGTCCTTCGTGGCCTTGGGTGGCTCTGGGGCCTTTGTGGTGGACTGTGGGTTTAGAGCCAGTCTGTAGGGATGTGTGCGCTTAGCTTCAGTCTGGGAGAGTGCTTCATTGGTTTTGTTTTGAGACGACATCTCACACCTAGTTCAGCCTGGCCTTAACCGCTCAGTCCTCCTGCCTCAGTCTTCTGATGCTGGGTTTCCCACACCTGTCAGTATTGTTTTTCACTGTGCTAGCCCGGCACCCCGGGGCCCTGAGTTGCTCTTGCGAGGGTCTGGATCTTCCCTGTGGACTCGCGTTCTATACTGGGCCTGAGTCTAAAGGAAGGCAGGCTTCTGTGTCGGTGCTGACTCTTGTCTTTTTCTGTTCCCCAACCCCAGGAGGAGCAGCAGCGCCTGGCCGAGCTCTCCAAGTCCAGCAAGCAGGGCCTCTTCCTTGGTTCACTCACCAGCCGCCTGTGGCCTCGCTCCAAGCAGCCCTGATGCTAGGCTTCCTCAGGCCCCAGTCCTCACAGAGCAAGGCTTGGATCACCACGTGTCCAATAAAGCGCATCCCAGATGCCACAATGCCTGTGTCCAGAGAGTCCAGATGGGGCGTTGGGGTGAGGTCCGGGACTCAGGTCATCATCCACAGTGACTGACCACCGCCACCAGGCACAGGGAGGCCTTGCTGGATCCGGGCTCTTGCCAGCCTGAGAGGTTGGGAGCCTGGCTGCTGCTGTGCCATGTCTTCCCACTTACTGTGTAAGCTGCAGAGAAAAGCCTCTCTCTGGCTCTGGATTCCTTGTGTGCTATTTTGGAAATAAAGAGAAGTGTGGCCTCTGGAGAGCCAGAAACGACCCCATCTCAAGGGCTGCTCGGCTTAGCTGCTGCTTGTGGTTCCTTGGGAAGGAGCTCCCGGAGTCCTGGAGCTCTTCATAGGCGTCAGAAGGCGGGATTTATTTATTTATTTTTTCTGAAGACAAGGTCTCTCTGTATAGACCTAGCTGGTGTTGATCTCAGATCTGCCTGCCTCTGCTTCCAAGTGCTGGGATTAAAGGGGTAGGCAACTATGCCCCCTGGTTTTTCTTCTTTTGAAGACTAGTTCTTACTACATAGCTCAGGCTCGCCTGGAGTTCCTAGGCTTAAGCAGATGTCCTGAGTAGCTGGGACTGGAGGTGTGTACCACTGTGTCCTGCTAGAAATCAGGGTTTCAAAAACACACTGGATTTCTCTAGTTTTATTGTTTTTTATTATCTCGGTGGTATTAGGGATGAAATGTACAGCTGATACATGCCAAGCCAGGCACTACGAGCGAGCCCTATCCTGATCTGGATCAATTGTGTGTGTGTGTGTGTGTGTGTGTGTGTGCGTGCGTGTGAGAAGACAACTTGGGAATCGGTTCTACCATATGGGTCTTGGAGATGAACCTGTAGTTGTTACTGAGTGAGAAGTTCTTTTCCCCTGCTGAGCCATTGTTGGTTTTTTTTTTTTTTTCTCTCTCTCTCTCTCTGTCGTGGGATTTTGGTTTGTTGGTTTGAGGCAGCCCCCAGCCATGTGTGTCCACTAGCTTCTGCTTTGAATAGCATAGCTGTGTATGGCACTACCCTTCCCTCTATGCTGCTAGCACCAGGACATTTAAACCGTCTAGAGTGCAGAGTCTAAGCTGCTAACACACACACTGCTTCAGTTTGTAAAAGCAGCGTTATAGTTTAAGCTGGGCCAACACTAGATGCTGCCTGGAGCAGAGCTTGGCGAAGGGACAAAATGGACACTCCAGACAGGAGGAAACTAAGACAGAGGTACCTTGCCTAAGGTTTGTGGCCCCTGCACGAGAACTCTGGTGGGCTGGACATGGCTCAGCAGTCATCTGGCTGCCTAACCAGATGACCAGCACTCACAAGGCAGCTCACAATCCTGGGGGATCCATAAGAACTGTATCACTATATCTGGTGCATTGACAAAGCATCCATATGAAAAAGGACGATCATTGGGGCCAGGCAGCTCAATCAGCAGTCAAGAACACACACTGCTCTTTCAGATGACCCCACTTCAGCTCCCAGCACCATGTTGGGTAGCTCAGAACTGCTTGTCAATTCCAGCTCCAAGGGATTGGATGTACACTTCTGGTCTCCATAGACACCTGTACTCATGTGTCCACTCATACGCAAACACAATGTAAATTTATTTATCTTCTTCCCAAGACAGGGTTTCTCTGTGTAGCTCTGACTGGCCTGGAACCCACTTTGTAGACCAGGCTGTCCTTGAACTCAGAGATCTGCCTGCCTCTGCCTCGCAAGAACTGGGATTAAAGGGGTGGGCCAGAGGAGGACACCAGATCAGTGGATAGATGGTTTCGAGCCACCATGTGGGTGCTGAGAATTGAACTCAGGACCTCTGAAAGAGCAGCCAGTGCCCTTAACAGCTGAGCCATCTCTCCAGCCCTCAAAAAATAAATCTTAAAAGAACTGTTTAGAGATGGAGAAACTGACCTCCAGAGAGGCTAAATAACCAGTCAAGAGATCAAAGGCCTTGGATTTGAACCCAGAACTGGAACTCACATGCTTCAACACCGATAGGGCTGTGATTTCAGCACTTAAGACAGACATGTAGCAAGATGCAAAGAGGATTATAAGTAACACCAAAATTCCCAGCCTGGGGAACTGGGCAGTACAGAGGAGTGTCCCATCACGTCCTGAAAACCCTCCCTTTACTTTTCCTAAGACAGGGCTTCACTGGGCTGGAGAGATGGCTCAGGGCTAGGCTCACAAGCAAAATGTAAGACAGGATACACGGTGTAACTTGCTGGCCTGGAACTTGCTATGTAGACCAAGCTGGGTACCACCTCACAGAGAACAGCCTCCCTCTGCCTCAGAGTGCTTCGAGTAAAGTTGTGTGCCACCACATCTGACTAAGATTCCCTGTTGTAAGGATGTTTTGCATCTGGAGGCTGTGTGTCTAAAGGAGTAGTACTGGGACAGAGTTTGGTGTGACAAACTCTGGGTGGAGTGGGTTGTGGATGGAGGGAACTTGCCCTCCTGCTGGAGTAGGGGCACACTGACTGTCCCACAGTACCCTCTGAGGAGGCCATTGTGTTTGAGGCAGTCTTGCTATGTAGCTCAAACTGGTTCTGACCTCGAGTGGTCTTCCTGCCTCAGCCTCTTGAGTACTGGGATTACAGCCATGTCTCACACACCCTTTTGTAATGGATTTGAAATGTGACTTGAGTCTGTTTCTTGCAGCATAAGGAAGATGTGTTTCCTCCATTGCCCTGGAGATCAGGACTCTGGTACTTGGGGCGCTGCCTGCTTCAGGTGTCTCCCTTGACCTTGGTGCTAACTGGACCCTGTGTCCCTGTCCATTCACAGTGTTGGAAAGAACTGGGCATAGGTGCAGAAGTCCTGAGACAATGCCCATCAGATGGGGCTTGGGAATTTAACCCCAAGCACCCTGTGCTGAAGGACTGCTTTGTTGTGGAAGTCATTTGTGTATAACCAGGTCCCTTCCCCACACCCTGCCACAGGGTCTCCCAGGTCCCACCACTCAGAAGCCCTTGGGCAAGGCCTGAGCATCTTTGTCCTCTGGGAATTCAGTTCCAGTTTCATTGCACTAGTTGGCTTCAGTACTTGCTGGCACCAGCTGGTGGAGATACCCGGAAGACAGCGGTGAATAAGGATGACGGGAGGCACAGCCCCACTGTGCTGCTGTATCTTCCGGGAGACAGAGTACAGGCAACATAAAGATGAAAAGGAGGGCAGGGCATGGGGGCTGGAGATGGCTCAGTGGTTAAGAGCACTGGCTGCTCTTCCAGAGGTCCTGAGTTCAATTCCCAGCAACCACATGGTGGCTCACAACCATCAGTAATAGAATATGGTGGGTATACATGTAGAGCAGTCATGGATAAAAATCTTTAAAAGGGGCAGGGTAAACACACAAGCCTGTAATTCTAGCTACTCAGGAAACAGGCAGGAGGATGGGAGGTTTTAGGCCAGCCTAAGTAACTTAGTCTCAAAATACTGAAGAGCAGCTGGGAGTGTAGCTCAGTCATGGAGTGCTTGCCTAATGGGCATGAGGAATGGTCGATCTTCAGCACAAAAGGAAAGAGAGAGAGAGAAAAAAGGTGAGGAGCAGTGGTTTGGGGTTTTGGAGATGCCATCTTATTATTTTACATTATTATCTGTACAGGAGTAGGGTGGGTAGGCACGTGCAGCACCACCTATGTGGTCAGAGGACAGCATTTGGGATCAATTCTTTGTCATGTGGATCACAGGGATAAAACACAAGTCACAGGCTTGGAGGCAAGCACCCTGGCTAAGCTGCCAAAACAACAGAAGATGCTGTTCTAAATTAGATGGGATAATCTGGAAGGCCCCTTGGGAGAGTATGTGAGAGCGGAGCCTGGAATGAAATGAGAAAGCTCCAGGGATGGCGGAATGTGCAGGCATGGTCAGCCCAGGCCTTTGCAATCGCTGCACACCCTGCATTCTCCCCAGGGGTCCTTCTCATGCTTCAGACCGTAGCGCGATGTCGCCTCTGTTTCACAAGTCCCTTAAAGTCTGCTTCCTGTGTGACACAGTTCGGGAAACACTAACTTGTCTAGTGGTCGAGTTTACAATGCTGGGGACTGGCTGAACCCACAGCCTTGTGAGTGAGGCAAAGCCGGGTGTGGTGGGTTTTTGTGGTAAGTGTTGCATTGTTTTTGACAAAGGCTTCATGGAGACCAGACTGGCCTCTTTCTCCTGATTATCCTGCCTGTGCTCTGCAGTGTTGGGGTTAGGGGCCTGCCCCACCTGCCCACCAATGGCTCTTTCTACTGAATAATTCCTGAGCAGGACTAGAGTTGCTTCCTCTCTACAAGAGAAACGTTGGGTATAGGTGCAACTGTGTCTTCCCTAAGAGTATTCGCTCTGAGTATTAACTTATTGTTTACTGGTGTGTGTGTGTGTGATGGGTTATGATGGGTTTCCTCCATTTAAGCAACTTTGCTCAGCCCCTACCACCAAAACACTATGACCAGAGACTGGGGGCATCTACACCTAAGTGGCTTAATTTGCCTGGATCCAGGAACACTAAGGGGCTCCTGCCTTCCCCACCTCCCCCTTGGGTGTGTGTGGGGGCTACATTCATCTGGGATGGAGAGCCGGCCCCTAGTGTCTGAAGACTCATTTCCTGTCCGTTTGCCCCTCACACCTTCCTGAGCCCAAACGGGAGGCCCAGCTGCGGCCCGAGGGGGAGGGGCGCGTCCGCCCGGCAGATGGCGACATTTACATACAGCTGGGAGGCCCCTCCGAGGCGAGGCTCCTGGCCTGGCGTCTGGTGGGTCTGGTGACGCTAGATTTGGGGTAGAGAGGCTTTGTTTTGAGAAGGGAAACACGCATGTATGCATACATAGGGCCTTCCATAAAGAACCCAGGATCTTCATCGAGTATACTCAGAGCTGCATCCGTGGGCCTCCCAAACACGACTTATGACCTCCTGCGCAGTGGGACAGGACCTCACATAATTACTTACACGATAGAAAGGAATGCTCACAGCCACAAAGTAAAGTCACCTGTACTAAAACTCTCCCACTCGGGAGCACACAGAATCTTGGAATTCTTTACAAACCCTGAATCCTTGTTAACTGTCTACACCCGTTGAGCCACATCACCCCCCCTCCCCAAAACACACAAAGCCAGTTCATCTTCCAGTAGATCTTCCCTGTAACACAGGGCACACACACAGAGAGGTTCAACGCCAGTCACTTTCAGATTGACGCCCGCAGTCCCACTCGGGATGAACCTCGCCAGCCAAATCGCCCACATAGAGTTCCCATGTCCCTTCCCCTACGACCCTCTTTCCCTAGATCCCCAGGAGCCAGGAGGCTGGCTGAGGGGGCGGGGCGTCCCCTGAGATATAAGGCTTTGAGATCCAGCAGCTGTGACTGGAGGCTAGCTCCCATCCTGTCCCCCAAAGCAATGGTTTCCCTGCAGGTGGCTCTGCTTTCCCAGACGCTGATCCTGGTTTTTCTCCTTCCCCAGGTCAGACACAGCGGGATTCAGAAAAGAAGGGACAGATGGGGTCGGGCTAAAACCTAAGGAGGTTTCGTGGGGCAAATGTCTAGATTCCCCCCCCCCCCATGTCCCTTAACCCTGTGTGGTTCTCTCTGTCCCAGGTACTACCGGCCGGTGTCTTCGAGCTGCAGATTCTTTCTTTCGGGCCAGGACCAGGCCCCGGAGCCCCGCGGTCCCCCTGCCACGCCCGAGGCCCTTGCCGCCTCTTCTTCAGGGTCTGCTTGAAGCCGGGGGTCTCCCAGGAGGCCGCCGAGTCCCTGTGCGCCCTGGGCGCAGCGCTGAGCACGCGTGGCCCCGTCTACACAGAGCAGCCTGGAGTTCCTGCCGCTGCCCTGCCGCTGCCCGACGGTCTCGTACGTGTACCCTTCCGCGATGCCTGGCCGGTGAGCTCAGCCCTGACACCCAGACCTCTACCTCCTTCTGTCCCCTAGCTCTCACATGCTCTCGTGTCCCACAGCCTTAACTAGCTCTGGAACCCACGTTCCCAGATCTCTTGGGGACATCTAAAGACTGGGATTCGCATCTCTTTGTGGTTTTGTTTGTTTGGTTATGTATGTATGTGTTTAGTTGGGGGAGGGGGGACACGCATGTGCCACAGCGACATGTGGATATCATAGGACAATTTGCGGGAGTCATAGTTCTGTGGAATCCAGGGATTGAACTCAGGCTTTCAGGCTTTCTGGCAGTGTCTGGAATTATCTTCCCATCCTGTGCTTTGTTTTTAGAGACGGGCCTGGCTGTCTTTGAGCTCACTATGTTCCTGAGTCTGGTCTTAAATTCCCGATTCTCTTGCCTCCACACCCACACCCCATCTCCCAACTAAATTCTGGATTTATAGGCATGCAATCCAGCAGGCTGGATTTTTTTTGGGGGGGGGCTTTGTCTTTATTCTAGATCTCCTTGCACACGGGGGTCCTCCCAAGTGCTTTCTTGGGATTCCCCTAATCTCTCCTATTTTCAACCTCAATTCTTCTGGTTGGGACCTGCCTCGTTAGGTCCCCTCAGAACGCTAGTATCCATCCCTGCACCCTGCAGAGCTTAGAAAGGAGCAGGCCCATAATTGGAATTTAGACAAGTTTTGGGACTTTACTTTTTCTGTACTTAATTTCCTCACCTGTGAGGTGGGTACATCCTGGTACTTTCTTTTTGGGCAGGGTCTTTCTAGGTATCCCAACCTGACCTCTAATTTGAAACCCTCCTACCTCAGCCTCCTGAGTGCTGGACTTACAGGCGTGTGCAAACACAACTCCCACAATGATGTCTTTTGAGGGACTCAATAGGTATCTGGAATGAGGCCAAATGTGGCTGGTTCCTGGGGATGCTCCCTTGCTTAGGCCCAGAACTGGCTTCCAGACTCCACGCTGTGTCCTGGTCCTCACTGAGAGGCTTCTCTGACCACTAGCCTCCATTTTTCCTTCCCTCCCTTCCTCATCCCACCAGGGTACCTTCTCCCTCATCATTGAAACTTGGAGAGAGCAGCCGGGAGAGCGGGCTGGAGGTGAGTGTCTTCAGCCTTTGCTGGGCAGGGGCGATGCGGGGGGGGGGGGGGGGGGCGGATTTCAGGGGGTTCAGGACAGACATGCAGCTGCCTCCAAGGGACTGCTGAGCCTATGATGTCATCATAGCTCCTAGGAGGTGGTGCTGAGTTCTAAACCTATGCTCCAAAATCCATTTATTTTATCTTGCCTTTTATAATGGAGCAGGACTCCCCATAAGCTAGGCATAGCTTAAGCATAGCATAGGCTCTACCCTTGAGCCTTGCCCCTATCCCTCACCGGTAAATTCCACCAGGGGCAGTACTGTGGAGCCATCTCCTCAGCCCTGGCTTTGTATTTGAAACAATGTGTAGTCCAGGCTGGCCTGGAAATTGCCATATAACTGAAGTGGTCTTGAATTTCTGGCCCTCCCCATCTATCTCCCAAACACTAGGATTACAGAGTGCCCCTATGCTGGGCTTGAATTTTAAGTTTTTCTTCTCCTCCTCCTCTTCCTTCTTGAAACAGGGTCTGGGACAATGTAGACAGGCCTTGAACTTGAGGTGTAGCCCAGGCTGTCCTAGAATTCACCATTCTCCTGCCTCAGCCTCCTGAGTGCTGATGTTATTAACATGAATCACGGCTTTGGGCTTGTTTTTTCTCAGCCTTTCTAGATAAGGTCCCCTTATTCATACCAGGGGCTGACCATCCATCTGCCTGACCTTTTGCTCTTGAGGCTTCTGCTGGGATTACAGGCATGAGCAGAAGCCACCACACACCGGGAGACCTTGGGGGAGCGCTATGACCTCCCTCACTACCAGAGACACTGTCCATAGATATTGACGTTACAAGATGTTTAAAGGTCTCTTAATGTTCAAGCATTCTGGCGCAAACACAGGTCTGAGATGACGTGTGACATGCAGGTCCCTGGGTGCATTGGGGAGGGGACAGGCAGGCTTACTATGGAGGGCTTTTATCATTCTCCTCCTGAGGACAAGGAACTCCCAGGGCTAGATAAGGAGTGGTGGGGATGCCCTGAGTCCCAGCGCCCTCCATTCACTCCGCAGGGCCCGCCTGGAACCTGCTAGCACGCGTGGCCGGCCGCAGACGCCTGGCTGCTGGGGGCCCGTGGGCCCGCGACGTACAACGCGCAGGCGCGTGGGAGCTACACTTCTCCTACCGCGCGCGCTGCGAGCCGCCGGCTGTAGGGGCCGCCTGTGTGCGCCTGTGCCGCCCGCGCAGCGCCCCCTCGCGGTGCGGCCCGGGACTGCTCCCCTGCGCGCCTTTCCCAGAAGAGTGCGAAGCCCGGCGTGAGTCCCCTCTACATGGCTCTCTCTCTCCCCTGCCCTTCTTGCTTAAGCGCGGATCCCAGTCCCCTCCCACATCCCATCGTCTCCTTCAGGGAACGGAGGGCCCTGGGTCTCAGCCGGCTCTAGCATTCATATCTTGTTCTCTGTGCTTTTCCTCTGCCTCCCGCAGCCATATGCCGAGAAGGCTGCAGCCCTGAGCATGGCTACTGTGAAGAGCCTGATGAATGCCATTGCCTAGAGGGCTGGACTGGACCGCTCTGCACTGTCCCTGTCTCCACCAGCAGCTGCCTCAGCTCCAGGGTCCCAGGTCCTGCCAGTGCTGGATGCCTTTTACCTGGGCCTGGGCCCTGTGATGGGAACCCATGTACCAATGGGGGCAGCTGTAGTGTCAGTATCTCTTTCTGACCTCATCTGTATTGTGTGTGTGTGTGGGGGGGGGGAGACCAGGCAGCAGTGTCTATCACTCTCCGCTTAAGTTTTGGAGACATGGACTCCCGCTGAGCATAGAGCAGGCAGGTGGGCTGAACGGTCGGGCCAGTTTTCCCTTCACCTCTACCGGGGATTCCAGATGTGCACCACCAAGCCCGCTTTTCGAATGCGTGCTGGGGAATCTAACTTCAGGTGCTCATGTTCTCTAGGCTGGCTTAGAGCTCACTTTGTAGACCTGGCTGGTCTTGAACTCACAGAGCTCTATCTAGGCTTCATGAGCACTGGGTTCAAAGGAGTGTGCTACCACGCCTGGCAAATCCACCCCATACCGATTTCTTTGAGATAGGTTCTAGCTGTGTAACCCTGACAAGCACTTTGAATAACTCAGGCTGGTCCAGAACTTCTAATTTTCCTGCCTCAGCCACCTTGAGTGCTAGGATTACGCATGTCTGGCCTAATTAGGACTTTTTACAGAGCACCCCCTCTCTGGGATCTGTAACATTGTAACCGCAGCCAGGTAGCAGCTATCTGGGAAGACTTCCTGGAGGTGTCCTGGCTGCATCTCAGACCTTGAAGTAGGATTAGGGTATGGGAATGGCATTGAAGAGCAAAAAGTAAGTGGGCAGTGTCGCAACGTGTGTAAGTGGCAATAACGGAGTCCCGTGGGGCCACTGTGAGTTGAAGGTTGGGGTCGGGGCGCATAGGAAGGGTGGTGGCATCAGTATCAGGCAATGCTTCCTGAGGACTGGGCTGGGCCAACAGGAGCCAAGTAGAGGGGGCAGGATTGGAAAGAGGCATGGAGAGAGCAGAGGAGCAGAGCTACAGAGCTGGGAAGGAAATGCTGGAAGATTAGAATCCGGTGAGCGGGCTTTCTGATGCTGACCTTAAGGATGAGACACACACAGAGAGAGGGGCGGGGAGGAGGGGGGAGCTTAATGAGCCTTCATTGCTGGAGATGCAACCGCTGTAGTGGTACAAGCCCCTGCTAGAATTTACCAGGGAAGGGCTGGGGGCATGCATGGATCAGCAGAGGAGGGCCTGCCTAGAATTCTCCAATAAGGAGCTGGGGGTGTGGCTCAGAGATAGTGCACTTGCCCAGAGTCCACCACTGATGTTTGGGGTCTTAGCTCAGGAATCCAGTACTTTCTTAACATTTGAGAGGCCCAGGGTTCAATCCCTAACACACAAAGGAGTTTTGTGGGGGGTTAGGACTGTAGCTCGGTGGTTGATTACTTGTTTTGTACATGAAGGGTGCCGAGTTTGGTCTTCAAGTAGGGGGTAAGAAAGAAACCTTCCTAGGGGTGGCATGGTGGCTGACTCTTGTAGTCCCAGCACTCGGAACCCTGAGGATCCTGAGTTCCAGGCCATTCTGAGCTCCAAGCGGAGACTCTGTCTTTTAAAATTGTTTTCATGAGGGAAGTGAGCATAGAGCTGGTGTGTGTGTGTGTGTGTGTGTGTGTGTGTGTGGGTGGGCAGGACAGGTGGGTGCCATATGGAAGGCACAGGCGTGGTGGGGACGGTTTTCTGGGCGTCCACGTGCAGAAACAACAGCATGGAGTAGATCGAAGGGCATGCGGGCTACACTCCTGGGGAAGCCCTGTACCCTGGGACGTGGGGCTGGACAAAGAGAAGGAAGGGATTTGGCTCCAAGGAGCCTCCTGCCCAAAGCCAACCTGTCTCTGTTCAGGAAACCTCCGGCTCGTTTGAGTGCACCTGTCCCCGGGGATTTTATGGGCTTCGATGTGAGGTGAGCGGGGTGACGTGTGCTGATGGACCCTGCTTCAACGGCGGCTTGTGTGTTGGTGGCGAGGAGCCCGACTCTGCCTATGTCTGTCATTGCCCACCTGGTTTCCAAGGCTCCAACTGTGAGAAGAGGGTGGACCGGTGTAGCCTGCAGCCATGTCAGAATGGTGAGGTGGGCAAGCAGAGTGGCCAGGGGTGGGGGAGGGTTACAGAGCTGGGGGGGAGAGATGGGAGTCGGGTCTCTGAGGGCCCCGGGTGGGACTCCTACCTCTATGTCCTGTGTGGCCCTACGTCCTGGGGGCATGACCTCTTCCCTCTCTGCCTAGTCCATTCTATGAGACAGGCAGAATAACCATCTCATAGGCATTTGTTGAGAACTGTCTGCCTGTCAGGCCTTGATTTACGCATTGAGGGTGTAGTAGAGAGGGAGCCCCAAATCCCTGCTGATTTGGAGCTGACCGTGCTCAGTGTGTTGTGGATCAGGAGGGAGGCCAGTGTGGTCAGAACAGAGGTCAGGCGTGGACCCGGCCGACCCTGGGCACTTGCTGGGAAGGTACTCGCTCTTGGTTTTTCCTTGAGATGGAGTTACAGGAAGAGTCTGACCAGGGCAGGGAGAACCCTGATTTGACACAGGTATGGTTAGATGAGGCCACACTGGGCATATTGGCCCATACCTATAAATCCTGCACTCTAGAAGGCAGAGGCAGAGGATCAGGAGTTCAAGGTCATTATGGGCTATACAATAAGCTTCAGGCCAGCCTGGGCTTCATGGCCATCTCAAAATACCCCAAACCAACCAAAGGGTTGAACGAGGCCGTGGACGCAAAGAGTCTAGTAGATGGGTGATGCCGAAATACTGTTCGCACTTGAGCATGGTTGTATAGTTAATTCTAGCACTCCGGAGGCAGAGGCCAGAGGATCGTAAGTTTGAAGCTAGCCTGGACTAATATTGAGCTCATGTCTCAAACATGAAACCAAACCAAACCATTGTTTGGAATGAGCAGCCGGAGGGACAGTCCTAGACTGTGCCCTTCGCAAGTTCCTGCAGATGCCTTATCTCAGGGGCCCCTCGTTGTTTGCTCCCTCAGAACTCAGAGGCATGGGGCTGTGATGAGGGCACAGGGCATAGGGCTGAACCGCAGGAAAAGTGAGGGTGCTTCCCGGAAGAGAGGGCCTATGGGAGAGAGAGAGAGAGAGAGACACAGAGAGAGAGACAGAGAGAGAGCTGGAGGAAAAGGTATTGGTAGAGGGGAGAAAAGGAAGGAGGAAGAAAGGACGAGGCAGAAATAGTCACGGACAACCTTGCTTGATGGCCTGCACTTGTAGCCCGGGATTTGGGAGGAGGATGCTGGAGGACCCCATGTTCAAGGCTACCTACATACGGAGACCTGTTCAAAATTTCAGAAGCATGGGCGAGGGCCAGCTGACTCAAAGACGGGGCTCTTGGGATGCAATTTTAAAGTCAGGCGGGCGGAGGAGCCACGGGGGTAGGGAGGGGACCGGGGAGTGCTGATGCTGACCCCGCTTCCCCGCAGGCGGCCTCTGCCTGGACCTGGGTCACGCCCTGCGCTGCCGCTGTCGCGCGGGCTTCGCCGGGCCGCGCTGCGAGCGCCACCTGGACGACTGCGCAGGCCGCGCCTGTGCCAACGGCGGCACGTGCGTGGAGGGCGGCGGCGGCGTGCGGCGCTGCTCGTGCGCGCTGGGCTTCGGCGGGCGCGACTGTCGGGAGCGCGCCGACCCCTGCGCCTCTCGCCCCTGCGCGCACGGAGGCCGCTGCTACGCCCACTTCTCCGGCCTCGTCTGCGCCTGCGCGCCCGGCTACATGGGCGTGAGATGCGAGTTCGCGGTGCACCCCGACGGCGCGGACGCGGTGCCCGCGGCCCCGCGGAGCCTGAGGCAGGCCGACCCGCAGCGCTTCCTTCTGCCTCCCGCTTTGGGGCTGCTGGCGGCTGCGGGCTTGGCCGGCGCCGCACTCTTGCTTGTCCACGTGCGCCGCCGAGGGCCCGGCCGGGATACCGGGACTCGCTTGATGTCTGGGGCCCGGGAGCCTTCGGTCCACACGCTCCCGGATGCACTCAACAATCTGAGGATACAGGACGGTGCTGGGGATGGCCCCAGGTGAGGGTGGCGCACTTTGTCACTATGGCCAGTGTGATTGGCCTAATTCCTCGATGCATCTTTCTTAGTGCATCTTATCCCGATGTTCTAGGCTTCCTCTGATGGGGTTATTGCACGGTTCCCCTCTTTGATGGGTGTGGAAAAACAAAACAAACAAACAAACAAACAAAAAACCCCGGAATATTCATGGGGTCTGAATCATCCCTGCTTTCTCTCCTCCCACAGTTCGGCTGACTGGAGTCACTCTGAAGACGGAGACTCCCGATCCATTTATGTCATACCGGCCCCTTCCATTTATGCTCGAGAGGTAGTTGAGTCCCAGGTTCTCGTGCTCCAGGCCTTGGGCATCAGGCTCTGAGGCAGCCCCTAATCCCATCCCTCCTCTAATGCTTCTTTCCCATCTCGTGTTTTCCAGGCATAACCCTTCCCCTTCTCTGTCCTCGCCTGGAGTTGGAGCCCGAATGTTTTCCTTTGCTTTGTGGTACGCGGTCTCTGCTCCCCACGCTGACTGGACGCTGCTGGGAAGTGTGCTGTTGGAAGCTGTACATAATGTTTATTTATAACCTAATTTTTCTCATCTCCCAAGAGACATCTATAAAGGCTCTTATTTTGATCAATTACTTCAGGCCGAGAACTTTCTTTTTGCTGTTGGAATTAAGGAGGAGCTCTGTCTTGTAGGGAGAATAATAGACATTTTTTTGTTTTTGTTTCTTGTTTTGGTTTTCTCCAGACAGGGTCTGTCTGTGTAGCCACTGGCTGTCCTGGAACTCACTCTGTAGACCAGGCTGGCTGCCCTCGAACTCGGAGATCAACCTGCCTCTGCCTCCCAAGTACTGGGGTTAAAGTCAAGTGACACCATGCTGGGATTTTTTTTTTTTTTTTAAATTGAGACAAGATGCTATGGCTTGGAACTTATTATGCAAACCAGCTGTTCTCAATATGTGGGTCCAAACTCCCTTAGGGGTCAAATGACCCTTTCACAGGGTCACACATCAGACACCCTGCATATCAGATATTTACATTATGATTCATAACAGCATCAAAATTATAGTTGTGAAGTTAAAATGAAATAGTGTTATGGTTGGGGGTCACCACAACATGAGGAGCTGCACTAAAGGGTCACTGCACTAGAAAGGCTGAGGACCACTGAATCGTAAACCAAGCTAGCATCAAATTTGCCACAACTTTCTGGCTTCTGCTTCTTCATGTTGGGAATTACAGGCATGCACCACTCCCTGGGCCAGGCTTGATCCTTTGATAGAAGAGGCCATTAAAATTTGGCTCATGGCTATGGCAGCACAGGAGAAAGATAGATTAAAATCAGCCAAGGGAGTCTGGTATGGTGTCACAGGCGGGCTGTAATCCCAATACCTGGGAGGCAGTGGCAGATGAGTCTCTTTGTTTTCAAGGCCAGCATGAGGATTCTAAGTTCAAGGCCAGCCTAGGTTATATAGCAAGGCTATTTCTCAAAGACAACAGAAAGCAAACCAAGACAAAAATAAATTTAAAACAGCCAAGTAGAAGTCGGGCATGGGCCAGGGGCCATCTAAGTTTTTTTAGCACAAACATCTGGGTGTCCTCGATGGTGGAGACGCAGATTGCAGTGACTTCTCCTGGCAACAATATGTGATAGTGGACAAGGGATGCTGCACATCAAGAGGCACTCATGCATTCAGAAGCCCAGTTTCCATGGCATCTTGGTCAGGCAGACATAGTTAATCACCCTCCCAAGGCTGAGCTATCATCCCTATTATCGCCATGGACACACACACACACACACACACTTATCAGGAAGTATGCTGCCTGTCGTAGAAATACTGCCCAAAAGCTAAGGGCGAGACTGGAATCCCACAGGGTATCAGGGTCATACCCATCCTGAGTTTTTTTATATGTACCTGAGAGTGATTTTGAACTTTTTTTGTTTTTTTGAGACAGGGTTTCTCTGTGTAGCTTTGGAGCCTGTCCTGGAACTTGCTCCATAGACCAGGCTGGCTTCAAACTCACAGAGATCCTCCAGTCTCCGCCTCCCAAGTGCTCCCAAGTGGCGTGTTGCTGCCACCACCTGGAAGTCAACTTGAACTTTTGGCCCACCTGCCTCTATCTCCTGAGTGCTGGGACTACTACAGTTCTGTGTCCTCACGATCTGTTCTAGGGCTTGACCCCCAGGCGTTGTGAGTGCTATGAAAACTCTACTAAGTGGCCACATCCCCTAAATCACCCTGTGAGTCCCGTGGCCTCAGAGTGAAGTCTGTCTGGCTTACATGGTTCCAACCCTTGTCACCTCTGGTTCTTGCCTACACTCCAGGTCCCAAATGTAACCCCTTACTTGGTGCAAGCTGTTGTAGAATATTAGTTTAGGATGTGCTACATTCCTTTGTGCTGTGGAACATTTGCATAATGATGCAAAGATGAGCTGCATTCTTTTATGTTGCATTTGTACTCCGTGAAGCTGTGTTACTTTGCCTGCCTAAGACACCTGATCGGTCTAATAAAGAGCAGACTGGCAGGAGAGAGAAGAAGGCCTGGCAGGCAGAGAGAATAAATAGAACTCTAGAGAAGAGGGAGCCAAGAAAAAAGGAGAGAACACGGGGGGGGGGGGCAGCTAGCCAGCCACACAGTCAGCCACGGGGTAAGAAGGAAGGAGAGATATAAAAAAGTAAAAAGCCCAGAGGCAACACATAGTTGAAGAGAGACGGGATGATTTAAGTTAGAAAAGCTGGCTAGAAACAAGTCAAGCTAAGGCCTGGCATTCATAGGTAAGAATAAGTTTCTGGGTATTTATTTGAGAGCTGGGTGCTGGGTCCCCAACGAGTAGAGCAAAACAAAACAAAACCAGCTACAGCAAGTTTCCCACTTTTACCTCACCAACTCAGGTCCCACAACAAGGTCTTCCTGTTCTAGTTGCTGGGCTACAGCATGAAAACAGGTCCTCATCTTGTCAGCCTTCAGGGACCCTTCTCAGAGTGGTGAAACCACAGGCTGCCGGCACCCACAATTTGGTCTGAGAGTCGCTGCAGCTTCTGGTTGTGTGTAAATTCCATCATTTGTGTGGGGCTATTTTTTTTCCTCGGGATCTTGTATCTGTATCCTATTCTCAGAGGTTCTCTGCAGAACCCGTGCTTCCTCCCTGGGATCCTATGGGTCCTGGTTTCCTCCTCCCCTGCTCTGCTGGCTTCAGGCTGTCACTATTTGATAGTGAGTGTGGTCTCCTACTATTGGCTGGAAGCAGGGCAGGCAGAGATGCTCCGCGCTCGGAATCCCCAGCGCAAAGGGCGCATTGGAAACTCCGGGAAGCATGTGCTTCCTGTGCAAGGTGGTGGGGACAGTGTGGGGGAGGGATCTGTTCAGAGAGATCTGAGAGCTGCACCGCCTCCTCCAGGAACCGAGCCCTGTGATCTCCGCCTTACTGGAACTCGGTGTGTAACGGTGCCTGCTTGGGGTCGCTTCCGTTTTAGAACTCTGGGGTGCGAATGCGCTCCTCGCTCAAGGAGCAGGGCTAGGTGGGACGCTCAGCCTGGGGTACCTGGGTCTCACCTGGTCACCATGAGTAACCAGGCGCGGACCCCCGCTCCCTCCCCAGCCGGGGCAAACACACCGTCCCGGACACCAACTCCCATCCGAACCGCGACCCCAGTCAGAGCCTCGAACCCGGCTCTGGTCCGAACTTCCACCCGGATCCCGGTCTCGACCGCGGCCCACAATCAAACTCCGGTCCGAACCTCAGCCCCGGTCCGGGGTCCCGCCCGGGTCCTGACCCCTCCTCCAATCCGGTTCCCAACCCCAGCTCCAACCCCAATCCCAGCCCCAACCCCAGCCCCAATCCCAACCCCAGCCCCAATCCCAACCCCAGCCCCAATCCCAACCCCAGCCCCAATCCCAACCCCAACCCCAGCCCCAATCCCAACCCCAGCCCCAATCCCAACCCCAGCCCCAATCCCAACCCCAATCCCAGCCCCAATCCTAACCCCAACCCCAACCCCAGCCCCAACTTCTGCTCCATCCCCAACTCCTGCTCCAGCCCGGTCCCCAGCACCGGTGCGAACCCCAGCACTGGTGCGAACTCCAGCACCGGTGCGGTCCCCAGCACTAGTGCGAACTCCAGCACCGGTGCGGTCCCCAGCACTGGTGCGAACCCCAGCACCGGTGCGGTCCCCAGCACCGGTGCGGTCCCCAGCACCAGTTTGGACTCCGAAACTAGCACGGGAGTCCTTGCCGAACTCGGCCTCACCCGTGGCTCAGCCCTCTTCTTCCAGGCGTGCTAGCTCTCTCTCCAAGGATCCTATGCAGGAACCCTCGACCTACAGCCTAGCAGAGGCCATCCAGGGTCCCCTTCCGGTGCTCACTGCCACGGCTTCCAAGACACTGGACTCCGTCCGGGACTGCACTCCTCAGTTAGACGCCTTGGCTTCCGATGACATGGCATCCAGTACATTGGGTCCCACTCCGGACCCCATCCCCGAACTACAGTTCTTGGACACTCAGCTGAAGGAGGCGTCTGCTCTGAATCAGCTCCCCACACTTTCCCCATCACCCAGCCTCATCTCCACCAAGGAGGTCCCCTCGACCAGCGAGAACTTCCCAACGGTCAACAGAATTTTGATTCGTGTGACATACTGGTGAGGGCCCCCCACCTACCGGTGAAGCCGAAGCCGGGTGGGTGGGGGCTCAGGGGTGTGCCGGCCCAGGTGCGCCCTAAGCAGGGAGGCAGACCCGCGGAGTTCTGACTCCCACTTGTCTGGGTTAGAAAACGATGTTCAGTTCCCCACCCTGGCTCCCACAGACCCCCTGTGATTTCTGACTGTGATCTTCATTCAGTCATTCATTCACTCCATTTGCATGTTTACTGTCTTTGAGCTTCATTCATTGTCTCCTATTCCTTCAAACATCTGTACGAACAACTGAGATGTGGTCACTCGCTTTTTAACCGTTCATCGATGGGCATTTACCATCCTGGCAGCCAGACTAAAGTCATTGATCTCATGAGTCCCGCCTCTCAACTTCCTGCGTGCATCGACTCTTACTCATCATCCATTCCTATGATTGGCAGTAGCACTGCACTGATTGGCTGACCTCCATTCATTGACCTCCATCCATTCAATATTTGTGTGCTTGCTGGCTCTAAACTGCATTCTCATCCATCCATCCATCCGTCCATCCGATTCATCTATTGACTCCTATGACTGGGGATCCCCATTCCCCCCTTCACTGCACTCTGAGGGTCCTGAGTGGTCCTGGAAATGGTCTGCTGAACCGCCTCACTTGCTTTGGCTGCTGAGCAGCTGAGAAACAAGAGCTGGAGAGCCTGGATGCAGCTCTCAGGGGCGGCCTCAGGCTTAAGCGTGACCCGGGACGGGGTTGAGTAGGACTGGGTCAGGGCTGTCTTCCCCATGCCTCTCCTGCTCCGGAAGACTCCGTGTCTCTTCCTTCCTCTGGCTCCGCCAGGCCCTTTCTATCGGCTCATTCTGACTTCTCCTGTCCCATGATGTCTTTTTCTCCTCTCGTCAAGCTTGGTTCCCTGCACTCTCCCATCTCTCCTGGTTCCTCCTCCTCCTCTTCCTCCTCTTCATCTTCTTAGACAGGGGTTTCTCTGTGTAGCCCTGCCTGATTGTCCTGGAACTCACCACGTAGCCCAGGCTGGCCTTGGACCCAGAGATCCTCCCACTTCTGCCTCCCAAGTGTTCGGATTAAAGTATACACTACCACATCTGGCTCAACAGCTGCTTTTTAAAAAAGCTCATCAGGTGGACACCAGGCACTGAGCATTGAACACGACAGAGATTCCTATCCTGTGAGGCTGCAGTGCTAGTGTGTAGGGCAGGCACTAGGCCATAGCTAGGATGCACAGGAAGACGTGGGAGGGTCGAGGCCTCACTGAGGAGGCGACGGGAAGGAATGAAGAAGAGCTACGCACATCCCGGGGGAGGAATATTGTGCAGCTACCTGCGGTACCAAGGCCCTAGGCGGCACAGCTCAGTATGGGCTCTGCTGGAAGGGTTCTGTAGCTGGACAAGGTGGGGACAAGGGATGAAGGATGGGGACAGTTTTGTAGCCACTTGAGGACTAGGAGAGGGTGGTGGCTTTTCCCCCCTGAGATGGTACCTTGGGTGGGTGGGGTGCGCCAAGCAGGGCAGGGCGGGGGTCTGACTCAGGCCCATTGCCACTATGATGTCTCCCCTTATCTCTCTCCACCTCTCCCCGTTCCCTCTGCTTCCAGTGGCCTCTGAAGCTATGGCCTTCGGGTGAGTCGTTTCTTCTCCAGAGTTTAACGGAGCCTGTGATGCGAGGACTGGAAGGGGTCCCTGTTTCCTCTCCTGTGACCCCATGACCCCATCTTTTCCCTCTCAGTACATTCTTCTGAAAAAGACCCTGGAACATCAATTCCCGAACCTTCTGGAGTTTGTAAGTGTCCCGGTACCCTGGGGAGAAGGGGTGGTCAGGGTTCCCAGACCCCTGAGGGTTTGGAAGAGCTCTCCCAGCCTCCTCCACCCACGACATTCCCTTGTCAGGAGGAGGAAAGAGCTTCCCAGATAACAGGGGAGTTTGAAGTGTTTGTGGACGGGAAGCTGGTCCATTCCAAGAAGGTGATTCTGGACAAGAGGGCTGGAAGGGATCAGAAGGTAGGGTTGGGGGTACTGGAAGGATGGAATCATGTCTGGACTCTTTCTCCTCCGTACCCAGAAAGGTGATGGGTTTGTGGATGAGTCCGGTTTGAAGAAACTTATGGGCATCATCGATGAGGAGATCAAGAAAAGGTAGCAGCAAAAACAAGGTTGGAGACGAGCGTGGCCACCGGACGGCCAGGGGCGGGAGTGAAGGTGAGCGGACAGTAGCAGCAGGGGAACACCCAGACCCCCTGCAGCTCAGCCCACCTCCCCTTAAAATCACAACTTCACATTGGGGGTGCACATGCGCGTCAAGGCACACATGTGGAAGTCGGAGGACAACTTGTGCGAGTCTCTTCCTCCACAGTGTGGCTTCTGGGGATTGAACTCAGGTCACTAAAGTTGGCAACAAGCATCTTTACTCAGTGAACATTATTGCCAGACCCCCCCAGCCCCCCTTTGAGAGGGTCTTTAGCCCGGGCAGTTCAGGCTGCCCTTGACCTCCCAGCCATCTTCTTGCCTCAACCTCTTAAGTGTTGGGATTATACACTCAGCACTTTTTGGAGACAGGGTATCACGTAGCTCAAGATGGCCTCAAATCTCCCAGTTGCTGGGGCTTACAGGCGTGCCCACCATTCCCAGTTCATTAGGCTGGGGAGTGAAGTCAGAGCCTCATGCTGGCCAAACAAGCATTCTGCCAGCTGAACCACATCCTCACCCCCTCTTTGCCTCCTGCCTCCCTGCAGTGCCTGGGATTGGCCTGGGCCTCACACCTGTGAGGTCGAGGCGATCGAGCGCTGTACACAGAGCTGCAGCCATAGTCCTTCCCCCCTTTCTTATTTCGAGGTCGGTTCCTCCTTAAACGACCCAGGCTAACCTTGGGTTTGTAATCCTCCTGCCTCGGCTTTCTGTTAGCTTGGATGGCAGGCCTGCAACACTAAGCCTGGTTTGTCAGTGGGATCGTGGAGACAGTCCCATGAGAGGACTCTCAGAGTGATGGGTAAGACGTGGCTGTCGCTAGGGCCCTGGGAATGTTGTCTTAGCTTCTGGCTGTAGGGTTGTGCACCCACTTTTTGAATTTATGAGGGGTGTGATCCACATGCCTGGAAATCTAGCATTCAGGAGGCTGAGGCAGGAGGATTGAGGTGAGTTTGAGGCCACTGTGGACTGTCTCAAAACAACAAAAACTAACAGAAGCTAAAGACATCAAAACTCCAGTTCTTAATTGCCCCAGGCACATGCCAATGGCTCAACAGTGGCATGAGGCAAGTGTATTGGGTTAGGTTAATCTGTATAGAATTGTAGATACAGAGCACAAAATCAATCCAGAACTGTCTAGTTCAATCAGTAGCATTATTCTAGGACATTAAAAGATGTCTGCAATAATTTACAAACCATTGATGCTTGCGTTTTCTCCTTGGATTTGCCAGGGATGGACCCAGGGATTTGGCTTCATAAGCAGGGGCTCTACCACTGAGCCACGCCCCAGCCCCTCACTGGGGGATTCTAGGCAGGGCTCTACCACTGAGCCCCTCGCTGGTACATCCTAAGAAAGCACTCCACTTCTGAGCCTGCTATTGGAAGTTTGTGTTTCAGACTTTGGGAACTAATAAGTACTTCACGTTGGCCTGAAACTTAGGATGATCTTGCCCCAGCTCCTATGGGCTGGGATTAAGGTGTGGGCTGCCACTTGGTTCTAATGGACAAGTTTTAAAATGGGAATATGAGACCATTATGATACCTGAAAAAGACTGAATGTCTTCATTGAAGCAAGCTTTTCCTTTTGGGCCACCAACCAGCGCCCAAACCATGACACAGAGACATGTTAGTTTTGAATGCTTGGCCTAGCTTAGGCTTATTTCTGGCTAGCTCTTTAACTTAAATTAACCTGTTTCTCTTTATCTACCTTTTGCTTCAGGCTTTTTACCTTTCTTACTTCTATATATCTTACCTTCTGTATACCTTAGTGCTTCTCCTACCTAGCTGGCTGATGGCTGCCTGGCTTCTGGCCCCAGGCATTTCCCTCCTCCTCCTCCTCTTGTTCCTCGTCTGAGCTTAGATTTCTCCTCCTAATTATTCTCTTTGCCTGCCAGCCAGCCTATCCTTTCTCTGTCTAGCTATTGGCTGTTCAGCTCTTTATTAGACCAATCAGGTGCCTTTACACAGCGTTAACAAATGCAACACATCTTTTATCCAGTTAAAATAATATTCCACAGCACGTCATACATCTAAAATCCAGTCCAGGGTCTCAAAAATATCTTTTTACAGCTGGCCATGGTGGCTTGTGCTTGTAATCCCAGCAGTGGGTAAACTGAGGCAGGAGGCTCCTCACTGGGAGTTTGCGGCCATCAAGAGCATTTCTCAAGAAGCCCCAAACTGGGGGAGGGCTAAGGAGTTGGCTTAGGGAATAAGAGCACTGCTTATGAAAGCAAGGGAACCTGAGTTCAAATCCCTAGCACTCAGGTATAGAGTTGGGCATGGCCATGTGTTCTGTAACTGTAGTTTTTGGGGTGCAGACAATGTGGATGCCAGGATCTCATTGCCAAGTCAGTCTAGTTGAGACTGGGAGCTTGGGATCCTGTGTCAAAAATAGGGTGGGTGGGGGTGGGGAGATGGCTCAGGGATTGAGCACTGTGTTGCTCTTGCAGAGGACCCAGTTTGTTTCCCAGCACCCACATGGTAGCTCACACCATCTGTAACTCCAGTTCCAGGGGATCCAACATCTTCTTCTGGCTTCTGCAGCTGCTAGGCATGCACGTGGTACACAGACATATGTGCCAGTAAACACTCATACGTGCAAAACAAAAACAAGTAAATCTTAAGAAAAAACTCGGAGGAGTGAGAAAATATTTGACATCTGCCTCTGGCCCCTATATGGATGTATGTGCACAGGCACACAACACATGCATCCATACACACAAGTGCACACATACCACACGGGCCAACCACAAAAGGGCTCACTGGGACAATGCTTGCCTAGTGTGCAGGAAGCCGTGGGTTCGATCCCCAGCACTGTGTAAGGTGGTCTGCCTGTGCTGGGGAGGTGGAGGCAGGAGGCTCAGTGACTGGAGGTCGTGTTGGATTCCATATATATTTGGTCGAAGATGCCCTCCATGTATATATGGACTCAGTAATGTGGTCACAGACTGCCTTAGAACACTAAGCTCTACAGAAACACTAGTATTTGTATGGGGAATTGTTACTGTTTTGTTTCTCTCCCATCCCAGGAACCTCAGCGGGATGATGAGAAGGGCTGAAATGCTGCCAAACCAGGTCCTTTTCTGATGGTGGCTGGGGCTTGGGTGGGGTTGGGAAAGTAAAGAGAATATAATCTGTTTCCCTGTGTTGGCTTCTGACAATGTCCGCCATCACCACACTCGCGCCTAAGGCCTATGGCTGTCACCTGCTAGGGTGCTCTCAGCATCTCCCCCAGCTGGTCCAGGACAGACGGCATGGGAGGAAGGATGGGGAAGGTCATAGACTCACATGCTGAAGGCTTGGGTCCCAGGCGGGCTGCTGTTGCCAGGTGGTGGAGACAAAAGGAGGAAATGGGAGGAAGTGAGAAATTGGATGGGTGTTCCAGAAGGGGGTATCGAGACTCTAGATCTTTCCTTTCTTGCCTTGTTTTCCTGCTACCATGAGGTGATCCATGATGTACCATGTCACCACAGGCCCAAGGCAAAGGGTCACACTGATGTGACTGAGGTCTTTCAAACTATGAGTCAAAAATTGCCTTTCCTCCTTGTAAATTGGTTGTGTCAAGTATTTCATGACTGTGACAGAAATCTGACTAATTCAGCCTCCTCGGAAGATAAGGCTAGACCGGCTTGCTACTACTTTTGCCATGGCTTCATTTCCAACAGCCTAATTTAAGATGCGTTTGGAAAACTTTTGGTTGTATTGAAATAGTTACGACTAAACGGGCCAAGAAGTGGTGGCGCACACCTTTAATCCCAGCACTCGGGAGGCAGAGGCAGGTGGAGCTCTTGTGAGTTCAAGGCCAGCCTGGTCTACAGAGTGAGTTCCAGGACAGCCAGGGCTACAGAGAGAGACCTTGACTCAAAAAAAAAAAAAAAAAAAAAAAAAAAAAAAAGAGAGAGAGAGAGAGAAAAAAAGAAGAGACAGATCTCTGGAAAAGGATGCTGTTAGAACTAGAAGTATCCCAGATGAGTAGAAGATCCATGGCAGCATTCCAACCATTCTGTGTTCACTGGTGGTTGGTTTTGTTCTGTCTGATGGTCTCACAATATGGTGCCAGGATAGCCTCAAACTCAGCCATCCTGTCCCAGCTCTCTGAGTGCTGGGATTACAGGCGTGGTCTACACTTGGCCACACGTGACAAAGCTGTTATAAATTAGTCTGGAAACCACAAAGGAAGAAAGACTGAGCACGTGTGGTCATAAACACTTGCCTTCAGGGTCAGTGCAAACAGCACTAGAAAGCAAGCATCTTTTTTGAAAAGGGGGAACTTGTTAAAAGGTTTATTGTGTGAGATTAGGTCATGGGGAGGTCAGAGGATACCTCTGGAGGGGCTTGTTCTCTTAGCTTCTTATGGTTCCAGGAATCACAGGCTTCCTGGGCAAGCTCTTTACACGCTGAGCGATCTTGCCAGCCCTGTGCTAAATTGTTCAGGTTGGTGTCAACTCTAGAATCTAGACCATTTATTGTTTGAGATTACACTTTGTAGTCCCTGTCCTGGAATTTACATAGATCAGGTTGGCCCCAAACTCACAGGGATCTGCCTGCTGTTGCATCTTGAATACAGAGATTAAAGGAATGTGCCAGCACAGTTGGGCTTGCTTGTCTCAGGCTCCCAAGGATTTAGGTGGCAGGTGTGTGCCATCACACCCATCAAGGACAAACACTTTGTTGACTTGTAGATTTGGTGAAAGGCTATAGACAGGTGCTTCCCAGAAAATGAAACCAAATGGCTATTACACATGGAAAACAGCACCTCCCCCCTGTGGAGAAATGCAAACACATTTTCACAGTTAGGAGTCTGAAGGATTGGGCTGGGTGTAGAGAAAGAGGCACAGAGTCCATGAGCAAATGGAAGTATGGAAGTAACCAGAGGCCTGGAGAGGGCTGGGAAGAGCCATGAAAAATGCCAACCCCTTTGCCCTTTAACTGATTCCATTCATAAGTTTTCTCCATGAAAAGAGCAAGCACACGCATGGCATGCACAGAACATTGCAAAAACAATGCTATGCCCAACGACACCCAGAGTCCCAGAACATGGGGGCAGATCAGGACTTCATGATCAGCCCCTTCGCCAAACAAAGCAACAAACACAGAAAAGCTAGGCATGAGGCAGAGGCAGGAGGGTTTTGTGAGTTCAAGGCCAACCTGGTCTACCACAGAGCAAGTTGCCAGAACTATACATACAGAGACCCTGTTTCCAACAAACAAGGAATAGAGAACGGAGAGAGAGCTCAGTGGAGTGGGTCCAGGTCCCAGCCACACGGGGCTCACAGCTGCCTGTAACTCTAGTTCTGGGGATCCCATGCCCTCTCCTGACCCTCTCAGTTTCTTGTTGCCCCCACATAGTACAGAGGTACTCATACAAGCTCACATACACACAAATCTTTAAAAGAACAAAAAGAAAACCATTTTCCAGATGTCCAGAAGACAACTAGTTCATTAAATATGTTAAGATACATCCATAAATAGTAGTCATTAAAAAAAGCAAGAAACAATATAGAATTACTTCCAGTATAACTGAAAATATAAAAACCCAAGACGCCGATAACATTGCATGTGTGTGTGCATGAGTGGTGGTCAGAAGACCACATAGGCTCAGCAGCAAACACTTTTTAACCATGTGCCAGCCCTACCTTGATTCAAGTGTAGCTGTAGGGCAGGGCTAGCTTGTGTAAGGATCCAGGTTCCATTCTCAGCATCCAGGATTAGGGGAAGAGAGCTAGGATGGTCTCAACTTATATATGCATTAGAAAATGACTTTGAAAACCCTACAGGGAACAACAATCTCCCCACCCCAAATCACTACGGATGCTTGCTTAGATAGTTTTCATTTTGGCAGAGACAAAAGTTTAACTTACCAAAGCATCTTTTGCTACTTCTGCATCATGTGACTAAACACCTATCATTTAGCTATGAAATCTATTCCCACATGGATACAATTACACATGGTCTTGAGAAATACTCATCTCACACATACATGAATTTCCCTATCTGAATATTTACAACTTGTCTACTGAACATCAAACACAAGAATTAACAGCACATTGAGCTTGTCAGCCGACAACGAGCCTGACCCCTCAGTTCTGAAGTGTCCAAGTTGCCTTTATAGCCTTCCGGTGTCAGTAAAACCCAGGAGCAACTGTGAACCAATCTCCCTGGGTTCTCCCTGTATCTCAGTTATTTCTAGGTTTTTTTTTTTTTTTTTCTTTTTCCATTGGTAATTCTTAGACTTCATCTTTGCAAAACCATCCTTCTTTACAGTGAAGCAACCTTGAGTTTCCACCAACGCAGGGGTGGAACGCTAAGGGCCACAAGGCAGAAGTCAGAAAATCCTTTGTCACCCACCCAGCTTCAAGCCTCGAGTGTTTGCCTCTTTCTGGCCCCGCTTCGCTCCACCCTGCCCATGCCCTATACTCTGCTTGGACTTCCCAACTCATGATATTTGCCCAGACTTCTGCCTTTGTCCTTGACCCTTAGTCACCCTGACTTCCTGGCCACCAATCTTTATTTCTATTTATTTTTTTAAAAGACAGTGTCTCCTGTAGCCCAGGCTGGCTGGCCTCCAACTCGCTATGTAGCCGAGGATGACCGTGAACTCCCGATTCTCCGGCCTCCTCCCTCCTGAGGGCTGGGATTAGAGGTCAAGACCAGCACTCAGTGGGCGGTGGGGCCACGGGCGTCGGAGGCGGTGAGCGCCAGCGTGAAGGCGCGGGCGTCCGAGTCCATCTGCGGGGGGTCGGCGTCGAAGGCCGCCTCCCTGGCCCTGCAGCCCTCCACGAACAGCCGGCGGCGCTCCTCGATGTCGCGGAGCAGCCGGGTGGGGATCAAGGGGTTGGTGTGCAGATAGTGTTGGAACATCCGCTGCTCGTGCAGCTCTAGAAGGCGGAGCGGCGCGTGGACGTGCGGCACGGCCATCAGGCCCGCCACGCCGGGGAGTCGCCTGGGAAGCGGGCCCGGGGCCGGTGCCATGAAACGCGCGGCTGCGGCCAGCGGGCCTTCCTGGGCCTCGGGGACCCGGCCGCCTCCGCCCACTCCCCCCTGCAGGACGTCGCCCACGCCAGTCGTGGGGCTCAGGTCGGGGACCCTGCTCTCTCCCGGCTGCTCGGACATCGCCGATCGTTGAGTCCGTTAGGTCACCAGGCAGCGCTGAGCCGAGCAGCGCTAGCAGCCCGCTCCAGCGGCAGTGAGCCCGTGCGCGTGCGCGGGCTTCGGCGCGCTGGAAAACCGAGTGCATGCGCAGGCACCGTGCGCGGACCTCTGTCGTCCTCTAGCGGTGCCGTGTGCCACTACCTCCGCGGCCGCCTGCAGCTCTAAACATCACGGTACTTTTTAACAATTATTTTTGTTTTGCTTGAGACAGCGTCTCACTACGTAGCCTTAGCTGGCTTGGAACTCATATATATGCTCAGAGATCTGCCGGCTTCCGCGTCCAGAGAACGGGAATTAAAGGCCTACGGCACCACGCCTGACTAATTTCTCATTTTTAAAAAAATGTGTATGGGTGTTTTGTCACATAGCTGTATATGTGCACCATGTTTGCCTGAGTTCCGCGGGGGTCAGACGAGGGCATCTGCTCCTCTGGAACTGGAGTTACAAGGTGGCTCTGAGCCACCACAAAGGTGCTGGTAATTGAACCTGGGTCCTGTGCAAGAAAAAGTGCTCTTACTTAACCTATCACTTGTTTTTATTAGTATGTGTAAAACAGAACTGAGTGCCTGTATAGGTCAAGGTCAACTTTGCGGAGCTAGTTCCCTCCACCCTTATGTGGGTCTGGATTGTTGAACTCAGGTTGCTAGTCTCGCTTGACAAGCTCTTTACCTCCTGTGTCATTCCTCTGGCTCCCGTGCGACATTTGCTTTAATTTTGTGTGTGCACACATGTGCAAGCCGTGGCGTGTACGGAGATTAGAATGTGACTTTTAGCAGTTTGCTCCTACCGTGTGGAATTGAACCTAGGTTTTCAGGTTTGGTAGCAAGCACCTCTACCCAGAGATCCATCCGGCTGATGTATTTTCTCGAGTCTCAGGAAGAGACCTTCATTTTCCACTCCCCTCATGGTTCACAGCCATCTTTCTTGGTACTCCATATGGCCTCTCTTCACCAGCCAGAGACACCATATTTACTTGAGTGTAATACACTGTTGTCTTGGAGCTTTCCCTTGGTTAATCATCTAAAAGAATTTACAAGAGAGCTGTCTCTGGTGGCACACCCTGCAATCCAAGAATGTGGGAGGTGGAGGTGGGAAGATTCATCCGTGGCTTAGGTTAGCCAGGGCTAGGTGAAAACCTGTCTAAAGTGTGTGAGAGGCATTTGCATCCAATCACCTTTGAAAGGCCCAGTTTCTGGCTGAAATGCAGCTGTACCATGGTCCTTTAATAATCTCTGCACCTGTCTTCTTGTGCCTTTGATGAATCCAGAGTCCACCAACCTGTTAACACTGTAGCAGTTGAGCCTGCTGGCTCAAGCTTGTAACTGTAGCTAGGTGTCTGAGGCAGGAAGACAAAAGTTCAAGGCCAGCTGGGGATACAGAATTGAATTCAAGGCTAGTCTGGGAAACTTTGTAACTTTGTAACTAAAAGTAGGGTCAGGGGCCAAGGGATGCCTCAGTAGGTAAAGGTGATGATGTCTTGCTTGAGCTCCTGCAAGTTGTCCCCTGACCCTATGCATCCTGTGACATGTGCACACACACTGACTGGGGTATAGCTCAGTGGTGATGATCTGGACTCTATGAGTTCCAGGCCAGCCATGGCTACACAGTGATACACCCCTATCAATCAATCAATCAATCAATCAATCAATCAATCAATCAATCAATCACTCCCCCCTTTCTCTCTCACACACAGCTTGTTAGTAAATTTGAAAAATAGAAAGTTCAGGTAGTATTAGTTTTTCTCAACATGATTTCATAATTCATCATGGTGGATCTGACATAACCTAAGATCACTTTCATAAGTTGTTTTGTTTTGTGTTCTGAGACAGGGTTTCTCTATGTAGCCCTGGCTGTCCTGGAACTCTATATGTAGACCAGGCTGGCCTTGAACTCATAGAGATCTGCCTGTCTCTGCCTCCTGAATGCTGGGAATAAAGGCGTGGGCCACCACTGCCCAGCAGATTCTGTTTTGTTTTGTTTTTGACAGTCTTGCTACATAGCACATGTTGGTGTAGTGGCATCTCACCTTGCCAATGAACTTGTACTAGTGGCCACGCCCTTTTGGGCATGGTTTCAGGTGCGGATGTGACCCCTTTAAAGTAGAAAAGCTGTGAGCCCACGCACCTGCTCTCTCTCTTGGGTCGCTGAGAGCACCGGAAGGGCAGAGACTGCATCTCCTGGGGCAGGAAGGCAGCGGGTGGCTATTTATCCTTATCTGTGCAAGTTGCTGCCCAATAAAACACTGATGGGAGATGTCATTCTGTAAATGTTTCTCATCCTGGTTAATGAATAAAGTACTGTTGGCCAATAGGAAAGCAAGACAGGAGGGACTAGGAGACAAGGAGGAAAGAGGAAGTAGTAAGGAGGAGTCAAGATGGAGAGATCAGGGAGAGCGCAATGTCAGCCCATTCCCCGGTAAGAAGAAAGCACATGGACATATGTAGATACGTAGATTAACAGAAATGGGTTAATACTTAAGACAGAGCTAGCCAATAAGAAACTAGTACCTGGCCAACAGCATTATATCAAATACAGAGTCTCTGTGTGTTAATTGGGGCTGGCGCAGCGGTGGGACAAGACCAGCAGCGGGCAGAAAAACTTTACTTCTTACAAAACAACGGTTTATCTTTTATCTTTTTCTCATTTAAATCTTGGATCTGATGAACCCATTTAAACCCCACCTTCAATTAGCGCCCCCTCGATCCACCTGTGGCTCAACCGCACCCAGCTTCACCGCATTCTGGTAACCCAGATGGGATACCATGTAGAGACCAGGAAGATGGGACGCACCAGGTGCGTAAGATAAGGCCACGTAGAAATAGGTTAGTAGTTGTGGGTTAGTAATTAAGAAAGAGCTAGCCAGTAAGAAGCCATAGCCACTGGCCAACAGTTTCATTATTATGTCTCTGTGTGCTTATTTGGGCTGACAGGACAGAAATCTCCATCTTCAAGTTGGCCTCCAATCTAGCGTCTTCCTGCCTCTGTCTTCACTGTGCTGAGATTAGAGGTGTGTACCAAGTCCAGCATGCTCATAGCCGGAAGAACAGGCCTTTGACAGAGCCCAGCCACCTTTCTTTTTAAGATGTTTTCTCTTAGATGTGCTTATGTTTCTATGTGAATGTGTATTGGGGCTGACCTTGGAGGCCAGAGGAGGACTGGATCCCTTGACTGAGCCGTAAGTGCTCCTAGCAGCAGAGTCCTCTCTCCAGCCCCACCCCAACAGCCATTCCTTTAGTTTCTTTTTATGTGTATGAGTGTTTTGCTTGCATGTATGTATGTGCTCCACCTGTGTGTGTGATTCCTGTGCAGGACAGAATAGGGTATCAGAGCTCCTGAAACTGGAGTTACAGATGTTTATGACTGAGCTGCCAAGGTGTTAGGAATTGAACCTGGGTCCTCTGCAAAAGCAACAATGCTCTTAATCATTGAGTCATCGCTCCAACACCCTCCAACATCCACCCTTTCACACACACACACACACACACACACACACACACACACACACACACACGAGAGAGAGAGAGAGAGGGAGAGGGAGAGAGAGGGAGAGGGAGAGAGAGGGAGGGAGAGGGAGAGAGACAGAGAGAAGACTATGGAGAGAACTTTAACCAATCATGATCACTCACTGCATTATACTGGAGCCAGTAAAGAGGTGTCAGAGGGCCAGACAGATGGCTCAGGTGTTCTAGTCGATGTGATAAAATACCGACCAAAACAAAGGTCACAGCCCATCTAGGAAGGAAATCATGGCAGGAACCCAGAGGCAGGAATTGAAGCAGAGGCCATGGAGGGCTGCTGCTTACCGGCTTTCTCTTCTGGCTTGTTCAGCTACTTTGTCTAGGGAAGGCACTGCCTATGGTGGGCTGGGCCTTGCTACATCAATTAGCAATAAAGGAAATGCCTCATAGACTAACCCATGGGCCAATATGCTAGAGGTAATTCCTCAGTTGAGGCTCCTCTCTCCGGGTAAATCAAGTTGACAATCAGGATTGGTTTCACTCTGCAACCATAAGGGCCTGAAAAGCAGATCTCAGCATCCTTGGAAAAAGCTGCACATGGTCACATATCTATAACCCCACCCCTGTGGGAGGTAGAGACAGAAGGAGGCCACCCGCCTGGCCCCAGGTTCTGTGACTGTCTCAGGGCAAGTGAGAGGGAATGCACTGGCCTCTGCATATATGCACATGGACACACATACCCACATGTGTGTACACCACACAGAAGACACATACACTCAAAAGTCATAGAGAATCATGTGAACAAGTGCTAACCAACACAATGGAGTCCATTGACAGTCTATCCGAGAGGTGAGGTGAGCAGAAACTAATCATTTTGAAGAGAAAAAGAAATCTTCAAAATATATAATAGGAATAAACTCAGTGGTTGGGAGCACAGCTGCTCTTCCACAGGACCCAGGTCCGGAAACCCAGCGCCTCCATGGTGGCTCATAGCCATTTCTGACTCCAGCTCCAGGGGATCAGCATCCTCTTCCTGCCTCGTTGACCACCAAGCTTTCAGATGCACAGACATACATGCAGACATGTCTAGACCCACGAAAGACCAATTTTAGGGAAGTTCATTTAACAATATTAATATTCCCCAAATAAACATTTACACTCAACTTAAGGCTACAAAAATGTTTCTTTAAAATTTGTGTGTGCTTGTGTTCATTGTGTGTGTGCTAGGTGCCACGTACTCGTGGGGGTCAGAGGTCATCTGCTAGTGTTCTTTGTGACAGAGCGCCACCTTGTTTTCTGCCGAAGGCCTCTCAGTGGTCCCAGGTTGCTGGCTCATCAGTGAACTGCAGGGATTCTCTCTCTACATCACCAGCTCTGGGGCTACAGCACGTCACCTCCTGTAGTTTTCCATGTGGGTTTTGGGGATAAACCTGGGTCATCGTCCTTTCGAAACAAGCATTTTGCAGGCTGTTCTGACTCCCAGCCCTAACTTTTTTTGAGCCTGGGTATTTAGCCCAAGCTGACCTCAAACTTCTCATGAGATTACTGGCATGAGCTTCCACCACGTGTTTAGCTGGGTCTAGTGGCACAAACCTCTAATCCCAGCACTCCAGAGCCAGGTGAGCTTTGAGTGGGGAAGTCAGCCTGGTCTACAGAGTTCTGGGACAGGCAGGGCTACACAAAGAAAATGTCTCGGGAAACAAAATATGAAAACAGCTTATTTGGATAGAGTTCTGTATCTTTTTATTTATTTTTGTTCTTTTTCCAAGGCAGAGTTTCTCTGTGTAGCCCTCGCTGTCCTGGAATTTACTCAAACTCACAGAGACCCACCTTCCTCTGCTGGGACTGAGGGACTGTCCCCACCACCTGGCTAGTAGCATTCCTTTCCTTTCTAGGTGAGGCTGCTCATACCTGTAGCCAGCATTTGGGAGACTGAGACAGAGAACATTGAAGTTCCAGGTCAGCCAGCACAAGTTAGAAGTGAGAGTCTGTCTTAAAGCAAACATGACTAAACACACCTCAAAAGACAGATTCAGTGGCTGGAGAGGTGGCTCAGGGGTTGAGAGCACTTGTTGCTCTTGCAGAGGACCTGGATTTTGGCTTCTATCACCCATATAGTGACTTCTAACTATAATTCTACTTCCAAAGGATCCACTGCCCTCTTCTGGCCTTCTGAGGCACTGCATACACGTGGTGCACATACATAAATGCAGCCAACAGCTCACACATATTAAAGATAAAGAAAATCTTTAAAATATGACTCAGTATCTCAAAGACAGCAGTTATCTCTGGGTTATATGTAATATGACTCTAATAAAAAGGTTTTTGTTTTTGTCTGAAATAATAGTAATGTTGTGTGTGGTAGTTCATGCCTTTAATTCTAGCAATTTGGAGGCAGAGGCAAGTGGACTTCTGAGTTTGAGCAGCCTGGTCTACAGAGTGAATTCCACGGCAGCCAGGGCTACACAGACAACCCGTTGCAACACTGCCCCCTGCCCCCAGTAAACATGAGCAAAAATAACCAGAAACCATGAGTGGGTTCAGCATCAGGAAACCCGAGCTCTCTAGTAGCTCATTTGCTACGTGAAAAGTCGAACCTTATACTATTACTTCTCTGAACTAATCACAAATGGTTCAAGACAAAGGAAATCCTAAACACACACCAAGGAAACCAGGATTTAAAATCTTGCACAATTTAGAGAAAACAGGATAAATAATCCAGGCAGGTGTGTTGACTCTGTGGGTACCACACAAGCCTGGTGATCCGGAGTTTGAGCCCCTGAACCCACATCAAGGATAAATATAAAATTCTAACGAAAAGCCAGCCAAATAACTGGAAAAATATATTTGTAACGCACATCATAAACCATTGTCATACCTAATGCCACTAATACATAGTCAACTACTATAGTCATTAAAGAAATTATTGAGGGAAGAAATGGATAAAGAATGTGGACAGTCTGCTGGGTGGTGGTGGTACACACTTTTAATCTCAGCAGTCAGGAGGCGGAGGCAGGCAGATCTCAAAGTTTGAGGCCAGCCTGGTCTACTGAGTGAGTGCCAGGACAGCCAAGGCTACACAGAGAAACCCTGTCTCAAAAAACAACAAAACAAAAAAGAATGTGGACAGTCATGTGAGGGAAAGAAGTTAGTTTTCTTGGTTCTGGGGGCAAGACCCAGAGACTTACTTATGTATTCTAGGCAGGGGCTCTACCACTCAGCCACACCCCAGCCCCTCACTGGGGGATTCTAGGCAGGGGCTCTACCACCAAGCCATGCCCCCAGCCCCTCACTGGGGGATTCTAGGTTGGGGGTCTCCCACTGAGGCATGTCCTCAGCCCCTCACTGGAGTTAGTGTGCTATCACTAGGCTATTCTAGGTGAGTGTGCTATCACTGACATATATCCAGGCCTCTTTTCATTTTTAAATGAAAAGACTACTTACATTAAAAACCTTAAAAACTGATATACCTTTTTTCTACCATTAGGCTGGTGAGCCCTCCACATGTGAAGGTTGAGCTCGCTGGCTAGGCAATCAGAAAACATCCATTTACCAATCACTGGTGGGACTGTAGAGGTCAGTTGGCTGTATCTGTAAAGTTAACAAAGGCAAACTTCTGGCTCAGGAGTATCACTTCTAGAAGTCAGACTACAGATATTACCTAGAATAAAAAGCCTAAGAAGCAAGTGAGATGCACCATCAGTTTTATGGAAACTTAAAGGAAAAAGAAAAAAAAAAATGATTTGTAACACCATCAAGCATAAGACGGATTCCAACTTGAGGTGGCAAACACGAAAAATGCATTTTGTTCAGATCCAATGCAGAGCCAGGTGGTATTCACAGACGACCTATCAGAGGGGGCTTTTATACTGCCAGGAGAAAAGGGTTCCAAACAGCCCAACCCGCCATCAGCATTACAGCCTAACCACACAATGCCAAGAAATACAGCTTTAAGGAGTAAGTATACTGGTCCGGAAGGTCCTTCAAGATGTTTTCTTCATGAAATCACAATATGTAAACCAAAATATGTCAACTTTGAAAGAAACAAACAAACAAAAAATAAATAAATAAAAAACATTGTGTATACATAATGAAATTAGGAAGGAAACTGCCGTCATGGGAAGCATTAGGTATGGAGACAGGGAGGAAGGACAAAATCCTCCAGGCTTCATATTCTTGGGGCTTATGAATAATGACTTACAAAAACAACTTTGGGAAATGGATAACAGAATTCCAGATATTTGATATCGTTTAAAACACCATTTATCACATACTATATACAACATTTATGATGCTTGCCATTCCCAACGTCCCAGAAACACAAAATCAGTCTTACATACTCCACACTCCCGTTGACTCTGACATGAGGAGAAGGCGAGCTCTGCAAAGGTCAAGTTCTTGACAGGAACTGGGTCCTAAAGGCAGTTTAAACTCTTCATGCTGATCTTCTTCCATCGTGGGCTACCACTGGCAATTTTAAGTCTCAAAATTTTTGCAAAACCATCCTTGACTCATTCACGAAGCCCCGTGGATGGGCGTCTTCCGTAACACAAGAACTCTCAACCAATCATCAACTCAAGAAACGTTACAGGAGTCTAACGATGCTTTGGACAATCCCCCCCTCCCCCGATCTTCTGTCGCCTTTCCCCCTCCAACGAATGCACTGCCTTATTCTCAAGATCCTCTTGACTTCCGAGAACCAAGTTGCAGGATGGGGTTTGACTTGGATGCCGAGGTCTTCTTGGTGCCGGGGCCTCCTCACTCTCTGCTGATGAATTTATCGCAACCCAGCTCCTCTATGAGAGGATTGATCACCTCCGACGCAGTCAGGGCTATGGTAAACGTTAGAATGTCAAAATCCACCCTCTGCGGGTTGCGCAGGTACTCTATGTCGAAGGCGGCCTCTCGGGCTCTGCAGGCCTCCACGAAGCGCCGCCGGCGCTCCTCCAGCTCCTGGATCCGGCCCGGGGCGATCGGGTAGTTCTCCAGGTAGTGGCGCAGGAACTGCTGGTAATTGATGCCCAAGACGCTGAGGGGGTGGCGGAGGCGCAGGTACGGCAGCGCCGCCAGCCCGCCCGCCCTGGACCGGGGCCTGCCCTCGGGCGCGTCCTCCTCCAGAGGCTCGCCCAGCAGCCGGGCCACCTCCGCCATCCGGGCTTCCCGGGCCGCCGCCGCCGCGGGGCCGCCCCGGGCCGCCGCCGCCCGGCCCCCCCTGGCCGCCGCCCCCGGGGCTGCGGGGCCTTCCCGGGCCGCCGCCATCGGGCCTCCCCGGATCTCCTCCGGCCGCGCCGGGCCCGGGAGCGCACGGCGCCCGCCGCCTACCTCGGCCTGCGGGAGCCCGCGGTCGCCGCTCGGCGCGCCCGTCTGCGGGACACTGCTGACTGCGGGCGCCTGGGACATGTCGGACCGCGGGGCCAGCACCGCCGCTCGCCGGGAGTAACGGGACGCCGAGGCGCGGGGCGTGCACGCGACGCCGCGGACCCGAGCGAGCGCAGTGCGCACGGGGAAACGTCGCGCGCCCCGCAGCCCGCGCAGCCGTAGCTCCAACGGCGGAGCCGAGGAGCGGTGCGCATGCGCCTCCCCCGGGCGCTTTGGGGGCCAGCCAGGAGGGTGCCGCCTAGCGGCCAGAAGAGCCGTCGCACCCTTTCGGTTGTAGGGTGGGGCTGTGTTACGTTCCTACCAACCTGTTTCTAATTTCAACTTGGCGTTTTTTAGGTTGTTTTCAGAGATTTGTTTATATGCTTATTTATTTATTTAGTGTGTATGAGTGCTTCGCCTGCGTGCTTGTAAAAGTGCACCGTTGTGCATATAATGCCAAAGGAAGCCAGAAGAGAGCGCTGGATCTTCCGGAGCTGGAGTTCTGGGAACCATGTGCTGGGAACTGAACCTTCGCCAGTGTAGCCGGTGCTCGTAACTTTGGAGCCACGTCTTTAGCCCCTTGGTTGTATTTTTGAAGCAGCTGGCCATGAAGCCCTGACAGCCAAGGATGACCTTGAAGTAGAAAACTGATATCCAAAAGTTGTTCTTCTCGTGTGCAAACACACATAAATGTTAAGAAAAGAACCGAGCCGGGTAGTGGTGGCCCACGCTTTAATCCCAGCAGAAACAGGTGGATTTCTGTGAGTTTTGAAGCCGTGCTGATCTACAAAGTGAGTTCCTGCACATCCAGGGGAAACATGCTTAGCGCTTGGTGGTGCACATCTGTAATCCCAGCACTCGGGAGACAGAGGCAGGCAGATCTCTGTGAGTTCGAGGCCAGCCTGGTCTACAGATCAGCCTTGTCTTGAAAAACAAAAAGGGGGAAAAAAAAAGAAAAAAGAAAAAAGAAAAAAAAATGAAACAAACAAACTGAACATTAAGAGGCAGTCGATGTCTCCTGAGAGTCTGCTGCACACACGTTACTCTAGAACTCCGGTGAAGCTGCAGAAACAAATGCTTGGCATATACTTGTAGCCTTTCCCTTCACTGACATCACCATGTCCTTAGTTAATTCTGTTTTCCTTTGTGGACTTTTAAACATATCAGTCTTTCCCAAAGTCAGACCCCAAGTTGAGAAAACACTTTTGGAAACTAGCGTTCCCCCACCCCAGACTGACTGGAGTTTGCCGCGCGTGCGGCATGTTGAGGCTAAGTCTAGCCTAGCAGGCATAATTCAAGGGTTGACAGATGAGAAGGAAGGGCGGTTAGAGGAACATGCAGGGGGTGATACCTGTTTCTCCCACACCACAGGAAAGCTGTCAACACAGAAGAGGACGCTATGGTTCCGCGGCTTTGGTAATTCTGTGTATGAGCTCACACACACAGTAGGGAACCCCTGATTAGACTCAAACCACACCAAACACCTGTTCTCACAGAGGATCCTTTATTACAAGACAAGAGAAGTTAAAGTGGCTGCTTTTTCTTTTTTTATTTTCCCTCTCTCCCCCTTTCCCCTCCTTCCCCCTCTCCTCTGCCTCCCTTCCACCTTCCTCCCTCCCTCCTGCCCCCTCCTTTCCTCCCTCCCTCCCTCCCTCCCTCCCTCCCTTCTTTCTTCCTTCCTTCCTTCCTTTCTTTCTTCCTTTCTGGTTTTTTGAGACAGAGTTTCTCTATGTAGCTTTGGAGCTTATAGAATTCACTTTATAGACCTAGACCAGGATGGCCTCGAACTCACAGTGATCCACCTGCCTCTGCCTCCCTCCTGAGTGCTGGGATTAAAGGCATGCACCACCACCACCTGGCAACAGGTGTAATTTTTAAAGATAAGGAAAAGATAAGGGAGGTCTGTGTTAGGATGGGCTAGCACTTGATGGCATATTGTGATGGACATGTTAATTAGATGAACCAAAGGGGGCTTTTGATTGCTGGACTTCGACACTCTGATAGCTGGACCTTGGTAGTTGGCCTCAGGAGAAGGAAATGACCAAATAAGGGTGGCCAGCTTTAGAAATGTAACCTAAGGTTTTTTCAGCAAGGCGGAGGGAATTGGGGAGAAGGGCAAAGCGTTCCAGAGCCACATGCTTGAGTAAACTAGTGTCCCTTCAGCACACACATGTCTACTCATCCCAGACAGGGAGCGTACAACAGGCCAGTATGGATACCACCTGTCTCTGTTAGGATTTCTCTTGCTGTGAGGACACACCATGAACACACAGGTCTCATGAAGGACATGGTGGCCGGGGGTATGGCAGCATTCAGGCAGATGGGGTGCTGGAGAATTGTAGTAGTTTGAATGTAATTGATCCCCATAATCTTACAGGCGGATCTCTGTGAGTTCAAGGCCAGCCTGGTCTACAGAGTGAGTTCTAGGACAGCCAAGGCTACACAGAGAAACCCTGTCTCAACTCCCCCCAAAAAAGACTGGGCTGGAGAGATGGCTCAGTGGTTCAGAGCACTGGCTGCTTTCCCAGATGTTCTGAGTTCAATTCCCAGCAACTACTATAAATGGTTGTGAGACTGAGTGTCTCACAGCCATTTAGAGTAGGATCTGATGCTTTCTTCTGCATAAAGGCATCCATACAGATAGAGCACTCCTATACATAAAATAAATAAAACTTTAAGAAAGTTGTTTCAGATGTCTTTCTCTCTCTCTATGGCACTGTTGGGTCCCACCTACCTTTACCCAGAGTCAGAATACATAACTGGTTTCCCAGACCACTTCAGACTCCTCCCCTCTCCTTCTCTTGTTCTCTTACTAGGAAGGCTGAACTCTCTAGGACTGATATGAGTTTTGCCTCCCCCACCACGCACTGTTGCAAGCATTTTTCCTGCCAGCCTGGTCCCAGAGCCTCCTCAGCCCCAGATGACTCTATTTGATATAAAGCTGTTGGCCTGTTACTAGCATTTCTTACTGGCTAGCTCTGTCTTAAATATTAACCAATTCATATCAATCTAAGTGTTTCCACCTGGTCTTATCTTACCAGAGAGAGGATCCGGACCTTCTCAAGTCCCTACATCTTGAATCTCTACCTCACCCCTAATCATCCTTGTCTCCTAGTCCCACCTATCTTACTTTCCTATTGGCCAACGGAGCTTTATTCATTAACCAATAAGAGAAACATATTTACAGAATGACGTCTCCCATCGTTTCCTCTTTTCTACCATCCAAGTACTAACCAGGCCTAAACCTGCTTAGCTTCCAAGATAGATAAGATGGTATAGCCATAGACTCATCTCCTCTTTTCTGTCTAAAATAAAAAGAAGGGTTTTAACTTTAACATAGTAAAACATTTAACAAAACAGTTATTAAGCAAGAACTATAGTTAACAATATTTAGTCCATTAACATTTGGCAAGATTTAAAGAAAATATTTCATCATCTATCTTATCTTTTGAAAGATTTTAGTTTGCAGAGCAAGGATGTAGGAAAGGGGCAGGAGAATAATTCTTGCAAGCAGAATATAGAAAATCACAAAGAATGGATGTGGACATGGGTGGAAAAATCAGGAATTATGAGAACAAGGTTACTATGGTGATGGGGCTAGTGGTTATATGCTAGACTGATCTTGTTAAATAGGGCTAGTTACCGAATCATCAAACCTTTGTGGAATAACTGAAGGCTCTAAGTGTACAGTCAAGAGAAAGCCAGAGTATGAAAGAAGTTTCTCACAGGTCTTGACCCACAACAAGGAAATCGGTCCCCAACCCTGGAACAAATGGTCCCAGATGAACAGCCCTGTCTGGGTCACTCCTGGCCAACAGACAGTCTGGGGTCTCTCCCACCGGCCCATCAGGACCCCGGAATTAGGGTCCAACACTTTGTGAGTCTAAAGTCTTATATGTAACTTATCTTTAATCCTAACTAAGGAAAACTATAACCACAACTATCTGTCTTCAACTCCAACAAAGACCACAGAAGGATAGTATATAAACACTAGAAATGACAGAGACAACTCACTGCCTGGTCAGTCACGCAAAGTTCTTCTGTCATGTTCCATCTTCAGCCCATAGGCCATAGTGTGTCTGACAGACTCCTCAGCAAAGCAGGAAACTTTAAACTGTCCACCTGTGTTGGCAGTTTGTCAGTCACTTTTCTCTGTGTCCTGCAGACTGTCTGGCAGACTCTTCCACGAAGCAGGAACCCTACTACAATGTCCATCTTGTATCAGCAGTCACTTTCCTGTGGGTCCTGCATGTTTGGTTTATACAGCATAAAGTCAAACAGTCCAGACAAGAGCAGTATCTTGCCAAAATGGCTAGTCTTGCCATATTCGAAGTAAACTCCATAACGAGTTTCTCATGTCCATCTTCCTTTCTAACATAGGTGGTGTTGCCAGGAGCAGTTATGTCTCACTGTTAAGAAAAACCCTAAACCATTTTAAATGTCATATTCTGTAGGTCTTTGAAAGGTTTGAAGAATATTTATCCATCTCAGATATATTTCTGGATATCTAGAAATCCTAACTAACATAAGTTTTGACTATTATAAGTAACTATCTATAGTCTGTACTAAGTTATATATTACATTTTTAAATGAGCTATTTAAACTCAATACCTAAATAAGAGGAGAAATACACATCATAAAATTGATCTTAAATTTGTATCAATAAATGAAAATCCATTCCAAAACAAAGTATTCATTTCCATACCATAATCCCCTTTTTACCTTTAAAAAGAGATTGGTTGTGATCATTAACCATTTATAACCAAGCCCATTTAAATGAAAGCAAACATTTATAGACAATATTTGGGAATTTGGGCGTTGTTCTCTCCAAGCTGTTTCCTGCTGGTAGGGGATACTCTTTTGGGAATCCTAAGAAGACACAGAAATCCTGGCTGTATTGGTCTGCAAGGCTGCCTTGTCCCAGCTGTTTTGAATGTTGGATCACCTGGGACACTGCTTCAGGGGGTCTTGCTTGACCAAATCATGTTAGTCTGGAAGTAATCCACAGCTTTTCATTTTCTGTGTAACAAAAATAGTAATTCCTTTCCCCAGTAACCGGCCCTTAGACTTAAATTTGGAA